TCTTAGAGTAAGAATATATAATTGATAAGGAGTATTTTTAAATAATTTAATTGACTATAAGTCTACACAAATTTAAAATTAATTAAATTTATCAATTAAAAAATTGTTAAAAATATATTAAATTATATTTTAATAATAATTTAATATAACTAATACAATTTAAATCTCACCCCAATCCTTAACTTCCTGCAGCAGCATGATTAGATTTATCAAAAAACGACTCTTTGCTCACGAACAATTCATGCTCGGTGTTTGAATATATTTTTTATACTCGAAATATAAATGAGACAAACACGAACAGTAATATTTATTAACGAGTCATGACAATATAATTTCAAAGTTGATATAAACTCATAATTACCGAATCGCTTTTCCAACACGTAATTGCTTTGAAAAAGATTTTCAAAATAGCTTTTTTTAAAAGAAAGATAAAATAAAGGGGCAATTACGTCATAATTCATAAATATTTGTAAATAATAAAAAAATAGAGCACGTTTTAAAAATAGAAATACATTGGTCTGGATTTTCGCCTTACCCGCTAACCTGCATTGACACGTGATTGCCGTTTTCAACGTTTTTATCTCGCATTGTGAGAGTTGTTGCTTTAAAAATCGCGACAAAGATGGTTCATTGCACTAGAGAAAAAAATAAATAATAATTATTGCTAATGAACCCATTACTTAATAAATAACAATTAACCTACTATATATATATATATATATATATATTAATATATATTATAGGCTAATAAAATGTTTTATTATTATTAATTATATTCATATCACTAAGGTGATCATATTTTTAGGCACTTTATTTAAAAGTTTATCAAAAAATGTTATTCATTTGTGTTGAATATCTTCCATTAAGAAAATTATTTTTTGCTTTTCATTTTTAATACACTTTACTTGAATTAAATTATTGCTTCCATTTTCTCTTTATTTAACTAGTTTAAACATATATTTTTAACTTATTCAGTATCTAATCTGTTATAAAGATCACTAAAAGCTAGAGGTGTCAAAATTTGGCCTGATACACCAACGCGACTCGAACTCGAAACATGACCTAAATAAGCACGAAAGCTCAGGTCGGGTTTGGGTTAGCGGGTCAAACTCGGGTTCGGATCATAGTTTGTACCCATTTATTATTCTGGTCGGGTCATTTTCGGGTCGGATCTAACTTAACTTGCTGACCCAAATTGACATCCCTACTAAAAGCTGAATTTTAGCTTCACAAATTGTTCTGGTAGCCTTCTTACGGGGCCGTCTTATATTTTTCTGAGTTTTGTGAGCTTTTACATTTAAACCAATTTTTATAGTACAACTTCTTATATTTTATCTTTTCTTACACAATATCTTTCAACCACCAACTATTTTTATTATAAAAGTTTTTCCTTTTGATTCTCCAAGTACATTTTTTTGTCACTTATTTAATAGTGTTTGTTACTTTATCCCACATATAATTAGCTTCTTTATGAATATCCTAAATCTTGAAATCTTGAATTTGATCCATAAAATTATTTTTATTTGTGTCTTTTTGGCGCTTCCACTCAATTTTATGACAATGTTTCATTGTAATTTTTATTTAATAACACTTCATCTTAAAATTAAGAACTAATAACTGATGTTGAGTACTTAAAAATTCAATAGAAATAGCCTTATAATATTTACATTCTCGATGATATATTTTTCTCATTAAAAAAAAATATTTTGTGTTTTATTAGATTCATTCTTATATATTTGATAATATGTTAATCTCTTATATTAAATAAACTATTAGCTATAACAAAATCACACGTTAAAACAGAATATAATATTGTTTAACCGTCTTCATTAACAACTCCAAAACCGTCGCCACCATAAATATTTCTAAAATCTTCTACCAACACGTCCATTTGAATCTCCTCCAATAAAAAAATTTTGTCAAGAGGTATTTTTTTTATTAATTCTTCTAGGTTTGAGCATGTCTCCAAACTTACTTAAGAAGCATAAGCACTCATAACATAAAAAAAAATTAGTATCAACAACAATCTTCATAGCTATAATTCAATCTCCAATTCTATTATTTTGTATAAAATTATCTTTCAAAATTTTAACTATAATTACACCAATACGATTTCTAGTATGACTTCAATATGAATACCCCTTTTCTTCAACCCATTTTGTTTTATTTAAAAATTTTATTTTATTAAAATTACAGTATTTTATGTCATTTATTAAAAATAAAAACTATTTCTTTTAATATTTTAAATTCATCTTTATCAAATATGAGAAATCCCTTGTCATATTTTTACTAATTAAAGAAAAAGGCACTTGAGAGTGCATTATTTGGTCAAAATCGAAAAACCTGTTTCAAAGTTGAATTTTGTTTTTTGATTTTTTAAATTTTAATATTTAATTTTTTATTTTCAATTCGATTTTAATTTCATTTAACTAACAAGTCGAAAAATTGAAGTTATATTAAAAGTTATTATTATATTTTAATATCATGTCCAATAGATTTAAAAATTAAATTTTTATTATATGTAATATTTGATTGAGAATTTATGAAATTAAATTAATATTATGTGGACTAGATATATAACTTATAATCTTTATTCTTAGTTAAATTTTAATAAATAACTAAATTTTAATTTATTTATAATAAAATCATTTAAATCTAATTAAATTACGAATAGGGTTTCATTTTATCAAAATTTATATGAATTTAATTTTTGTTAATCTAAATTTTGACCAATTTTAATGCTGATCACTATGAATTGACCGAATGCGCAGCCCTACCCCATAGAGTGTATAAAACGCGAACCCTCGAATTAAATATCTCCTCTTTCCCGGGTGACAAAGAGCTGATAAAACTGTGTAAGACTACTAATAATGCAATGGAAAAGATGGAATTTTGAATAAGATTTTATATCCTTTTTTGGATTATTTCAATGCAGTTTGAACGAGCAATGGCTGGCGGCGACTTCGACTGCGATACGGAGCTCTGCCTCACTCCCGGCGGCGGCCGACAGAGAAGCAATACTGGTTTGATGAGAAGGTATAGGCATGGATTCTAAAGCTGCTTCCTTTATTTTGTTTTATTTGGTTCCAAGTTCATCTTTTTGGATGTTGGGAGATTGACGATGTGCGCTGGTAATTGTTTGGATGATGGAAGGGCGGAGAGATCAGCCGCCGTAGATATCGCCGCCGGCGAGAAGCCGCCGGAGATGACGATGTTGTATGGAGGTCAGGTCCGCGTTTGCGATGTTACTGAAATACAGGTTACTACTCTCTCCGTCTCTTTCTGTAGAAATTTTGGCATTTTAACTTTATAGATTAGGAATATATATATATATATATATATATACAGATCGTATATATATATATATTCCTCATGTATTATATATATATTCAATCTAGATCTGATTAATCAGAAAAAAATATTAAGTTTGGAGTTCTAACGTAAACTGCGTCTGAACAATATGTGATTCACCAGAAGTCGGTTTTTTTTTTCTCCTCCGCTTCTCCCGGCAGATCGCAGTTGTTGTTTTGAAGCAGCTTACGTCTGGACTTCGAACGTAATTTTTTTTTTTCCAATCATGACTAAGAAATCAAGCGTAGGGATCAAGAGAGGGAGAAAGAAGAAGTGAGAGAGGTAATATTTTTTCTTCCAATCAAGACTAAGAAATCTAGCTTAGGGATGATGAGAGAGAGAGAAAGAGAAGTGAGAGAGAGAGAGTCCGAACTTAATATTTCTTCTTCCAATCATAACTAAGAAATCGAGTGTAAGAATCAAGAGAGAGGGAAAGAATTGAGGGAGAGAGAGTTCGAACTTAATATTTTTCCTTCCAACCATGACTAAGAAATCAAGCATAAGAATCAAGAGAGAGAAAAAGAAGAAGTGAGAGAGAGAGAGTCCGAACGTAATATTTTTCTTCCAATCATGAGTAATAAATTGAGCGTAGGGATAAAGAGAGAGAAAAAATAATTGAGAGATGGAGATAAACAAATTGCTCCGTAAGGGCAAATGGGGGTGTTCTGAGGGCTCTTGGACCCATTTTATTTGACGAACGATTTGAGTTACAAGAGAGAGGGAATCAAAACCCCCTAATACATGAAGGGATCCTCCCCATTTTTAGTTAATAGGAGAATAAATGTAAAATTTACATCATCGCTCTTGCTAATGCGGGGAGGTGCGTTGTAACTTTTTGTCCACCATTTTTTATCTTGATTGTTAGGCTGTCTTGAGATCCGTACAGACTAGTTTGTTCCTACTACACAATTATTTAATTAATTACTAGACTTGTGTATTCGATTGAATAAATTTATCATTTAGGGAAAAATGGAGAGAGATACAAAATTCCAGCAACCAAATATTCTGAAAATATCAACAAAATTATGGCTAAAAAACTATTCATTTGTGTTGCATAAATGGTAATGTTATTTATTAATTTCATTTTTTGATTCAATGATATTTTGAAACAATGAAAAATAATTATAAGGAATTATAATGGAAAAAATAGAAAAATAAGAGTACTTTAGACGAATTAGGGTCTATTTGGGGCAGTTGCAGCTTATTGAATAATCTGCTGATAAGTTGGTTAAAAATAATCTGTTGATAAGCTGGGTGCGGTGACTATTACACTATTACAAATTGACTATTACAAATTTTTATTCTTTTGGAAAAGCCAGACTGTTGTCAGAAAGCTTCCACCGCACCTAAATAGGTGCAATGTGAAAACGCTGTTTTCAGCATTTTGAAAATGCATAAGCTGCCACAACACAGTTTACCCAAACAGATCATGTGCGTTTTCAAAACGCCACCGCACCAAATAAACCGCACCCAAATAAGCTGCCCCAAACTGGCCCTTAGTTTCTTGAGATTATTACCTGACTGAAAAATTATTTCACAAACTACATTAATAAAAATCTTAATACGTTCCAAAATAATTTTATAATTATTTCGGCTTATTGGGAAAATTCATCTAAAATAACTATTTAATAGTATCATACTTAATCCATGACTGAAAGTCATAGTGATTAGATGTAAATTGAAAAAAATTAATTTTCATTTAGGTGTCTTAGAGTAAGAATTCAGTGGTACATATGTAAATGCCCCTCTTAATTTAAAGTACACCCGCTGGCCCACCCACCTTATCAAGTGCGGGTGCGGTGGAGAAGTCCAAAAGGGCTTTTAATTTGACTCTGTATTATAAATGTGAACCACATTATTTATAAGAAAAATGTTTTATAGTGCCAGCACAGCTTTAAAAAAAAAATACTTTGAGATGCTACCACAACAACCCTATCCCACTATGTGGGGTCGGGGAATCATTTTTCTCCCCTTTGTCCTATTTAGCTTCATATTTTCATTTGATTTTTTATGTAATATGCTTAAATTTTTTTATATGCAAAAACTTTTTTAACATGTCATATCTAAAACATGTATTGTTTTAACTGGATCATCCGATGGTCGATGTTTAATGTGTCGAGAACATCTGCCAGTCTGTAGAGGTATCCAACCCTATCATGGATAGATTCTTTCGAATTTTCTCTAAGTTCAAAGCCACTCATCCACTTGAGCATTCTCAACTCAGCAGCACAACTTAATTTTATATTTCTCTTTTACGACTAATATGCTGCGCCAAAAAGCATTGCAGGTCTCACCACAATCTTATAAAAATTTCCTCTTAACTATTCTATCACACAATAGGCCTGATGCGTTCCCCAATAATCCAACTAAAATTTTACTAAAAACATTCGCAACTAAATCACCATTGCCTTGAACAATAGATCTGAGATATTTAAAACGATCACTCTTTTTAATAACTTGGTCAGTCATTGTTACAATCTCACAACTTACTTCTAAAATTAATATTGTGTCAGAAGATTTACGCTGTAGAGTGACAATTTAATATTTTAGCTTTGAACGAAGATTCAATACAGAGAAATAATTGAAAAGTAGCATGAGGAGACTCTAAATTTTTCAACATGGTAAAACATTGAAAAGATAAAAAATCACAGGGCTGAGTCCAGTCAAACTAATCCACTATGTAATTATAAGTACATATGTCTACTCTTCTCTTGAATTAGAAAAGATAAAATAACAAAGTTATTAATCACAGATGTGCAATTGCAATTTAGTTATAATAGTCATGATCATGCTACAATAAATATAATTTTCAGTTATAATAGAAATAGTTAGCTACAAAGAGCACAATTAGTCGCTACAAGGACAATAGTTGGCTAAAAGACTATAATTAGTGTGCTGCAATAACTGCAGTTGGCCACATCATGTAAAACATACCTTATACACTCAAGACTTGAATTAAGGCTTGGCGTTCAACATGATATACGACAATATTCATTTATAATTTGGAAGCAATGTCTATCAACACATCTCACATAATAAGCTAAATTGAAATATTTTTTTTAATTGATCATGTTAAAAATATATTAATTTGAAAAATGAAATGAATATTCCACATAATATAATTTTGGAACTTAAAAGATGCAGGCTAGGGCGATACTATGCATGGCAAGAAGAGAGATGAAAGAGATGATGGGGAGCAGCAGCAATTCATATTTGCAAGCCGGCTCAACATGGTCTGATGCATCGCTGCCACCATTTAAGGAACCTCTGCTACTGATTAATCCTGGGCTGTCGATGAAGAGATCTTTGCAACTTTTTTTACAAAAGAGAAAGGCTAGGATTTGTGATCACATCCCTTATTAGCCTTAAAAGACATGTAACTTGTATCAAGAGGTTGTTGTTTCTTCTTCTTTCTCTTTAGGTTCTGAAATATATCTCTCTCCTTAACTTTTTCTACTTTTAAAATTATATATATATATATATAGTCCTGGGCATCCCCGATGCACCTAACAATTTGAGCACCACACCTTCCAACGGGGGGAATCGAATCCTAAACCAGAGGAGACTTACAACTGACAAGCTGATGCCCGATGAACTGATTTGAATATGTGGCTCATATATAT